ATATATATATATATATATATATATATATATATATATATATATATATATATGTATGTATACAGTGGAATGGACTATCGAGTTTACTCTTTCTCTCTCTCTCTCTCTTTCTCTCTCTCTCTCTCTCTCTCTCTCTCTATCTAATATATATATAATAGATATATATTTATGTATACACAGACACACACATATACACATATGCATCCATTAATTCATTCCGCGCATTTTGTTGCCGCGGCGCCGGAGAACCCGAGAACCAAACGCGCAGGGAAAAGAGAGAGAACCTTCCCTAGACCACTATATACATTTTATCAAACCGCCAGATAGCGAACCATCCTTGACTGTCTCGCTGAATGGCATTTCAAAATTAGTTAATAACTGCCGTGAAATGGCTTTACACAAAAATATAGTTTTTCCATGGGAATAGTTTACCAGTTTTTTTTTTTTTTTTTTTTTTTTTTTTTTTTTTATCTCGATACTTTTTTTTTTTTTTGGGGGGGGGGGGGTTGGGGAGAGGAAAGCGATATTTCAGGATAATCCTCCTGCATCGAAATTTTTTTTTGTTTAATATAACTTTCCGTCACAACAAAGATAGATTTTCGAGTAGATTATTTTCCGTAACTAATTTTTTTTTTTTGTTTTTTGTTTTTTTACTTTTTTCTCTTTATCCTATCCTGAAAACATGACGACCGTGTAAATAACATATATAAGTTAATCCTTCTCCACTTGAAAACATGACCGTGTAAATAACGTATATATATAAGTAAGTTATCCTCTCCACTTTATTTATCTCTCTCTCTCTCTCTCTCTCTCCCTTCTCCCTTCTCGCAGCCACAGAATTCGACGGAGTTCAAGGTCAGCCTCAAGGACCTGACAGCCAACTCCTCGGGCGTGTTCACCTGCGAGGTCATTTTGGACGACAACTTCGAGACCCTGAGAGAGTCGGCCAACATGACAGTCATCGGTGAGTCACGTGGTTTTGTTTACATTTTGGCACATTTCTGACATGTTGGTTTGATATGCAATACATGATCTTAACTTAGATATTCATATACGTTTTACTTATATATATATATATATATATATATATATATATATATATATATATATATATATATTATATATATGTATATATATATATATTATATATATATATATATATATATATATATATATATATATATATATATATATATATATATATATATATATATATATATATATACATATATACACACACATGATCTTATATTGATATATTTAATATGCTTTATTTTCGATATGCAAACATAGTACTTATTATTCTGATATAGATACATCATCTTATATAAATATGTTTATATATGGTTTGGTTTTGATGTTATACATTTTTTTTCCATAAATGTATTTTTTTTGCATGATTTAATTTTATTTAGGTATGTATGTATCTAAATATTTCGTGACTGATTTATTAACTAACGTTTGGTGTCTTTTTCATTAATTTATTCCTGTTTATCTACGTTTTGTGTTTTACTTTATTCATATCCTTCTCTATCGAATAATGTTATGTAGTTTATTAATTCCCTTTTGTATATTTCATATCTGTATCTTCATTTATTTCCAGCTTTATATATATATATATATATATATATTTCTAGGCACTGATCATAAATCTATTCATGTATCTATTTATTAATTCACGTTTCAATAAGTTAATTAACACACGTACTGAAACGAATCGCACGCAGATTTTATTTAGAGGAATTAATTCGGTCTTTTTTTTTTTTCTTTTTCTTTTTCTTTCTTTTACTTTTTTCTTTTTTTTGTTTTGTTTTCTATTCCGACAGTGTCTCTTCGATCGATATTATCTGAAATTCTGATCGCGCGGTTTTGTTTCACTGCAATCTCAAAAAAAAGAAAAGAATACAGAAAGAGAGAGAGAGAGAGAGAGAGAGAGAGAGAGAGAGAGAGAGAGAGAGAGAGAGAGAGAGAGAAGAGAAAGAGAAGAGAGAAACGAGAAGAGAAGAGAAAGCCAAAAAAAAAAAAAAGAAAGAGAAAGAGGAATAGAAAAAAAGAGAAAAAGAAAAACAACAAAATAACCCAACAACCCCCTCCCATCCCATCCCCCCCCCCAAAAAAAAAAAAGCAGAAACGAAAAATAAAATCAGAAAGAAAAGAAAATAGCAGATAGCAAAAGTAGAAAAGTATTTTTGCTCTCCTCCGAAGCGCGTCGTCTGCAGCCCCGCCTGTCCCAAGCTGCTCTCCCTGTTTGATTTCATTTATATTTCCGAGTCTTTTATTACGTTGGTCTGCACACATCCCGTTGCTCTTGCCTTGGGATTTCTTGTAAACATTTCTTAGAAGGAAGGAGGCTTTTCATTTAGGGGAAGAAAGAAGAAGGGAGAAAGAAAACGTAAAATAATAATAATAATAATAATAATAATGATAATAATAAATAGAGAGAAGGAAATGAGAAAAATATAGATATATGCAGCCTCTTTCTCTCTTCTTATTCCTGAAGTGA